GGACAAGTAGGGAATTCCCACTCTTGCAGTCTACTTCAAACATCCTATTCATCCTCTTTCTGGAAGCTGTTGGCTTATTTTTTTACATAGATATTAGCATTTAATTATGTAACATTCAATTGGAAAGTTTATTAAATTGAAGCTCTAAGTGATTTAGAACCAGGCTCTCTGAGGCCATTAAAGGATATGGAAGTTCAAACTTTATTCTGAAATGGCTGTTTAAATTGAAGCACATAGGGACATATAGAGCAGAAGTATTGTAAATCAGATTGTTAAGTGGAGTTTTATGTAATTCTGGAGCATTTCACTACTAAGTAAAGGAGAATCCAACTCATTGTTTAAATCCAAGCAATGATAGTTAACACACTATAAAAAATTAACTCAAAAAGGATCAAAGATCTAATGTAAGAGCTAAAACTATACAACTCTTAGAAGAAAACAGGTAAAAATCTGTATGACCATGTATTAGCCAATAGTTCTTTAGAGATAACACCAAAGGCAGTCAAACTCAAAATAGACAAATCCTTCATTAAAATTAAAAAATTTTGTGCACCAAAGGACCATTAGGAAAATAAAAAGACTGTTTAAAGAAAGGAAGAAAACATTTGCAAATCATACTATAACTGATGAGCATCTAGTATTTAAGATATATAAAATACAACTCAAAATAATAAGTCAACCCAATTTAAAAATGGGCAAAGGACTTGAATAGAAATTTCTCCAAAGAAGATACACAAATGGCTGATAGCATGTGAAATGATGCTCAATATCATTAGTCGTTATGGAAATGCAAATTGAAATCAAAATGAGACACTGCTCATACACATGAGGCTGGCTGTAATTTAGAAAACACAACAAACGTTTGCAAGGAAGTGGAGAGATTGGAACCCTCACGAATGGCTGGTGGGAATGTAAAGTGATGTAGCTGCTATGGAAAACTGTTTGGCAGCTCCTCAAAAAGTTAAATGTAGAATTACCATATGACCCAGGGATTCCACTCCTAGGTATCTGCCCAAGAGAACTGAAAACACATATTCACTAAGACCCTGCACAGGAATGTTCATAGCAGCATTTTCATAACAGCCAAAGTGCAGAGACAACTGAAGTGTATAGCAGCTGATGAATAAGGTAACTCCATGCCATGGAATTTATTCAGCCACAAAAAGAAATGAAGTATTGACATGCTACTGCATGACTGAACCTTGAAAACTTAAGGTTAAACAAAAACAGCCAGATGCAAAAGACTACCCAGTGTAAATGCCATTTAAATGAAATATCCAGAACAGGTAAGTTCATATTTGTATATCTTCTTTGGAGAAATGTTTATTTAAGTCCTTTGCCTATTTTTAAATTGGGTTATTTTTATTGTTGAGCTGTATTTTATACAATATGCTTTGGATACTGGGGATTATCAGGTAGATATATGGCTTGCAAATATTTTCTCTCATTCTGTGGGTTGTCTTTTTGCTTTTTAAAAAAATTCTTACCCAAGGATATATTTCCTGTTTTTAGAGAGAGAGGAAGGGAGAAACATTGATGTGAGTGAGAAACATCAGTTGCTTCCTGTACACGCCCCGACCGAGGATTGAACCTGCAACCTTTCAGTGCAGGGGATGACACTCCAGCAAAATGAGCCACCCAGGGAGGGCTCTTTTTGCTTTCTTGATATTTAGTGTTTTATTTAGTTCTTTTTAATAATTTATTTCTCCTAATTGATATTCTTGATTTGGCGAGACATTGTGTTCATACTTTCTTTCATTCTTTGGACATGGTTTCCTTTAGTTTTGAACATATTTAAAATAGCTGACTAGAGTCTTTGGTAAATTCAATGTCTAGGTTTCCTCAGGAAAAGTTTCTTATTGACAGCTTTTCTTTCCTGTGTATGGGCTATACTTGTTTCTTAGAATCACTTTAATGTGGTATTCACTCTGAAAATCAGCTTCCTGTCTCTCAGGGTTTGTTGTTGCTGTTTTGGGGGGTGGCTGTTTGTTTAGTTACCTTCCTGAACTAATTCTGTGAAGTCTATTCAGCATGTGAAATCTCTACTCAGCTACCTTAGTGGTTAGCTGGTGACTGGACATAGGTTTACTGAAATGCCAAAACCCAATAAATCTCTCAGCCTTATTTACTGAGGGACTCTTTCTGTGTGTTGGGACATGCCTTCAGTGTTCAGGCGGACAGTTAGAACTCTGTTAGACAGTTAGAACTCTGTTAGAACTTTGCCTCAGCCTTACCTTCCTGCTTTTTTAAAGCCATAAAGTCAGCCAGAGGCTAGGGTTTAGGACCATCTTGGGTCTTTCCCAGCATGTGCACAGCTCTGCACGTGGCCTTGATTCTCAGTACCATGCTAGAGTTTTGCCAGCCCTTTATGGACATCCCACTTCCAACCTCTCTAAACATTGATGAGAAAAGCGAAAGAAGACCTAAACAAATTTTAAAAATTCTGTTACAGAGGTCTCACTGTGACCCTGGAAGACCAAGGAGGATGTTGTCAGAACATAGAATTGTAGAAGTTGCGATTCAGAGAATGCGTGGTTCTCAAGGATAACACAATTCTGCATGTGGTTGTGCTATTAGCTGTTGGAAGGAGTGAGAATGTTAGGGCATCAGCTTGGTGGCTCCTTCTGCTGTCTGCCCAGAGCACCAAGGAGAAGGGCAGTGGGTGTGTGGTGGTCAGAGTGTGTGCTGTGTTATTCTAATGTGCTTGTTCAGGTCTAATTTGTTCACATTACATCTTGGATTTTGGAATAGTCACTGGCATGTAGTAATCACTCAGTAAAAATTGTGGAAGTAAAAATAGATCCATGTAGTTGTACAGAAGGCACCTGTAACATAGCTTGTTACCCTAAGATAAATTTTGGCCATTTGTGGAAGGACACTGAGGCAGAACAAGAGCCAATCCCAAAAGCATAGCAGTAAGTTATATAAGCAAGGCAAGAGCTCAGATTTCTGTCGCTGAAATATTTTTGCTTGTGCTATGATACTTTTCCAGTGATGACAACATGCTTCATTCATTTGATAAAGTTTTAAAATGCCTTCTTTGTGTTAGGCACTGTACTAGACAGTGGGAATGTAGCTTAAACAAGACATACCATATTTTGCTGCATGTGATGTGTTCCCGTGTACAGTACATAACCATGCTTTAGCACCAGTTCCCATGTATAATGCACATCCCTATTTTTCCCTCAAAAATTTGGGCAAAAAGTGCACATTATACACAGCAAAATATGCCATCTTGCCCTCATGCAGCTTATAGTCTGGTGGGAGTCACAAACAAGTAAACAGGCATTTAATAATATAGCACAAAAAATACTGTGATAGGGGCAGTACAGGGTGATGTGAAAACAGATAGAAGGAACATCTAAGCTGAGACCTGAGGAAATAGTTGGCCAGGCAGTTGAAGCAGCATCAACAAATGCACAGATGAGACAAACTCTAGAAAATTGGGAAACTAATATTCTAGGGAAAGAGGCTGAGAAGGTTGAGAAGGTGAACTGGGTTCAAATCCCACAGGGCTTTACAAGCCATTTTAAAGAGTTTCAAATTTGTTGTGTAGGGTAGGGAATCCTGGAAGGATGTTAAACAGAGAAGTAACATGATCACATGTGATTTTAAAATAGCACTGTGACTTCATTATGGACTGTGGATTGGAGGCCAGTTAGCAGTGTTGTAATTTTCAGTGAGAGAGCTGAGGGGGGTTTTAACTAGGGGGAGAAGGAGATAGGTTAAGAGTATATGGGAGATGAGGAAGAAGAATACCTTGGTTTCTGGCTTGAGACATGGACATGGGTCATTGTTGATTCCATTCACTGAGCTAAAGTACTGTCATTCACAAGTAAGTTTAGAGGAGATTATGTGTTTAGTTTTGGATCCGCTGAGTGGGATTTCTTATGAAATTCCACTCCTTGAAGAAACCAAGAGTGATGTCTAGAAACAGAAATTAGACATAGAAATTAGGAAATCATCAGCATATGGAGAGTTACTAAAGTTATAAAAGTAGATGAGATTGAGATATGGAGTAGCCGATAGGTGAGAAGAAGCCCAAGAGAGTATGGTGACCCATAATCAAGTGAAGAAAGTGGTCCAAAAAGTAAAAAAAAAAAAAGGAGATGAGATTGCTCAGGAAGCATGACGTCTGAGAGGAGAGAGCCTGAGACCAGAATGCCGCGTTTAGGAGACAGGTGGAGAAGAATTGCCACAGAGACAGAAAGAGCCCGCGGGAGTTTTAGGTCCCAGAAATCAGTTACGGGGGAGTGGTTGGCAGCGTTTTGACACTAAGATATTAATATTAAGTAAGGTAGCATTACACTTGTATTGAGGGATATCTATTCAGATGTAGCAACAATTAGGTTGTCAACATTAGCTCAGGCCAGTTAACGGAACATTGCAGCAGAAAACAGATTACATTACTTTGAGAAGTGAACAAAGTGGACATGAAGTGAAGAATGAATGACGACGATGACTTCAAGAGGCTTAGCTGCAAAGGGAATGAGAGAAAGGGCAGCACCTGTGCTGCAAAACGGGGCTGAAGGAAAAGTTCAGCTTTTTTTGTTAAGCTCTTTTGTTTACTTTTCCTTTTAGGAATGTGATTTACCTTTTTAGCATTATACTTGTTTTCTTTTTAAATTTTTCATTTTTTGAGAGAGAGAGAGATTTGTTATTCTTCTTATTTATGCATTTATTCATTGATTCTTTTATGTGCCCTGACAGGGGATCAAACCCACAACCTTGGCAATATCAGGATGATGCTCTAACCAACTGAGCTGCCCAGCCAGGGTCTATACTTATTTTCTTGATTTTCTTTCTTCACAAGAGGCCGTATGGGGCAAGAATTGAAAATGTACAACTTTAGCTTTTGCATTGTGTGGCTAATTCTTTGTATGTGGTAAGAAATAGCTTTGCTGTCTTAATTAGCTAGATTTTCTCTGTATAACTTTTGTGAGATTCTCTGGGTAATGAAACCTCATTTTAATGAATTGCATCTTCTGTTTGTTTTTTAGATCATTCATCGGGATATAAAACCTGAGAATATTTTAGTATCCCAGTCAGGAATTACTAAACTCTGTGATTTTGGATTTGCACGAACTCTAGCAGCTCCTGGGGACATTTATACAGACTATGTGGCCACACGCTGGTATAGAGCTCCAGAATTAGTATTAAAAGATACCTGTTACGGAAAGTATGTATATTTTGGGATGTGCCCGGCCTTTCCTATCAATCTCTATTTTTCCTTTGGTGAATCTGTCACCCCTACTACGGATACCCTCTGCCTTCTGCATCTGAATTGGGGTTAAGACATACCTCCACATAGAACAGAGAGGCCCCATAGGTACTTGCCCTGCTTATTGTAGATGTTCATGTGCTTGCTCTTTGGGGCTGAATGGCCCCAACTCCCAGAGATCTATGGAGACACCCCTCAGGCTGTATCCATGCTTGCTTTAGTGCCCCATCCTTGGCGGAGTTGCCTTCTCTGCTTATCTTGAGCCTCTACATTCTGCAAAGATTTAAAAAATCATTTACCTCACTCTGTCTTGGCTGGTGTGGCTCACTGAACTGCAAACCAAAGGGTTGCTGGTTCGATTCCCACTCAGGGCACATGCCTGGGTTGCAAGCCAGGTCCACAGTAGGGGATGTGTAAGAGGCAATCACACATTGATGTATCTCTCCCTCTCTTTCTCCTTCCCTTCCCCTCTCTAAAAATAAATAAAATAAAAAAAATATTTACCTCTCTGCCAGTGTTACTATAGGAACTATCAAGTTTCCCATTTTCTGGAATATGGCATTCTCTTTGCAAAGACTGGCAAGTAATAATTTTTAAAGTATACTGTTCCGGATGCCTCAAAAAGTAGCATGGTCTCAGTTTATTGTGAAACAATAGATACACTACATGAAATAGCAACCTAATACACAAATAACGAATCTGAAAGAACATGAAGGGACCACGTTGTACAGCTAATACAAGAAATGGAAGGGGACACCCTGACCAGCTTGGCTCAGTGGCCTGGGCATCGTCCTGCAAAGTGAAAGGTCACCAGTTGGATTCCTGGTCATGGCACATTCCTGGGTGGTGTGCTAGGTCCCCAGGTGGAGGTGCGCAAGAGTCAACCTATCAGTGTTCATCTCCCACATCAATGTTTCTCTTCCTCTTTTTCTCTCTCCCTTCCCCCTCTCTAAAAATAAATAAATAAAATTTGTTTTAAATTTTAAAAAGTAATGGAGGGGGATGATTTTTATATGCTTTTTCTAGAAATCATTATTCTGTTTATATATATATTAATTTCTAATATTAAAGAGGACTTTGTGCCCTGGCTGGTGTAGCTCAGTGGATTGAGCGCGGGCCTGCAGACCAAACAACCACAGTTTGATTCCCAGTCAGGGCACATGCCTGGGTTGCGGGCCAGTTCCCAGCAGGGGATGCATGAGACGCAACCAGACATTGATATTTCTCTCCCTCTCTCCTTCTCTTCCCCTCTAAAGACAAATAAATAAAATCTTTAAAAAAAAAAGCACTTTGTGTCAGAAATTGTTCTAAATGCTTTACATGCATTAAATCATTTCACGTTCACGATAACCCTATGATGAAAGTGGTGCTATTGTTATCCTCACTTTAAATAAGACACTGAGGCACAGAAAGGTAAGCCAATTGGCTGGAAGTCACTTCATAGTACCTTTTCTACTGTACTTACCACTGATGTCCTACTGGACTATCTCTCTACTGTGAGTACCAGAAAGAGAGGAGAGAAAGGAGAAGAAAAAATATTAGAAGGCATAATGAATGAAAAGGGACCAGATTTATTGAAAAGCAATAACCAAGAAGCTCAACAAACTCCAAGTAAGATAAAGTCAAAGAGAGCCACAAACAGACATAGCATCGTAAAAATGCCAAAAGTTAAAAACAAGAAGAAAATCTTAAAAGCAGCAAGAGAAAAGTAATTCATCACTTACAGTGGCACCTCCATAGGAATAACAGCTAACTTCTCAGTAGAAACAATGTAGGCCAGAAAATAGTGGTACAACATATTCAAAATACGTAAAGAAAAAAATTACTACCCAAAACTCCTATATCCAGCAAACTTATCTTACAAAATGAAGGTGAAATAAAGACTTTCCCAAATAAACAAAAACAGACAATTTGTTGCTAACACTCCTGCCTAACAGGAGTTCCTGAAGGAAGTGCTTCAGGCTGAAAACAAGTAACCCCAGAGAGTAATTTGAATCCACAAGAAAAGCGACGAGCACAGGTAAAGGTACTTATGTTACTATAAAAGACACTGTATTCTGTCATGTATAATGAGCACTTTTTTTGCGCAAATTTTTGAGGGAAAAGTAAGGATGTGCATTATACATAGGTAGTACTAATTCTGTATCTTTATAAATGCTTTTAATTAATTTATTTATGTTTATGCACTAAAACATAAAAGTGTAACTCCAGAAAGCAATAATGATATCCGTATGCAAAATAATACCCTGGAATATGGTAATTGGTTTTGTTACTAAATATACATTTTTTAAAATTAAAATGAAGGATTTTTTTCCTGAAAGTTTGGGCCAAAAATGAGAGTGTGCATTATACACTGGAGCACATTATACATGGCAAAATATGGTAGCATATATTTATATCTTTGTCCCTTATTCTCTTGTTTGATTTTAAGGGCAATTGTATGAAATAGTACACACATAATATCTTGTTGGGCCTATAAACATATAAGTATATAAATGTATATTTTATATGTATATCTGCCAATAACAGCAAAAACAATGTAGGGATGAGATGAATTACATTTGGCTCAGGAAATGTAAGTGACATATCATGGACTGTGAAGTAATAATTATAACAATGTATTGTTTGGTTTATAACATAAATAGATATAATATGTACAGCAAAAATACCACAAAAAAGGGAAACAGATTAGACATATAGAAATAACTTTTCTTTATATATATATCACTGGAATTAATCTAGTATTCGTTTCCCCAGCCATCCAAAAGTAGGGCATCCCCAATCCTTATTCCTCACCCCTAAATCATATCTCTATCTCCAAACAAAAGTAGATTGTTTTTAATCTACTTAAAAGCCCCAGTGATATAAACTATCTTTTAAAAAACTAATTATGTAGGAAAAAAGTTAGAATCATGGGTGATTCACGATGTGTTAAGATAAATAAATAAAATGTAAGTGATTAATGTTTGAGATTTTTAATATATACTTTTTAAATACAAGATGATTTTAGTATTAAATTATTCTAATTCATAACTATCATAATGTTCTTATGTAAGTATCTGAAACATCTGAAATCTGAAGTTTTAGAATTATAGTAGCTTTTTATCTCAATTGCTACATGTGATAATATTTAATATATGTACATATCGTAGAGTTGGCATATGATACTATAGTGAAATTTTATAAACAATACTACTTAACCATTCCTTTTTCTTTGTCCTTAACTTTATTTTACAAGTTCTTTTAGGCAATATATTTGATGTATGTCTCCATGAAAAAGTGGTTTATTGTTACCCGTTTCAGGCCTGTGGATATCTGGGCTTTGGGCTGTATGATCATCGAGATGGCCACTGGAAATCCCTTTCTTCCTAGCAGCTCCGATTTGGACTTACTTCATAAAATTGTTCTAAAAGTAGGTAGGTATTACTGAAATACAGTGTGAAATGCCTAAAACAAATGTTTCCAGATCAATTTTGCTTGACTTTCACATTTAGTTTTCTCATTATAACCACAGGGAAGCATCTTGTTTGGATAGATGGCAGCAGATGGAAACCTTGATCTGATAAAGAAAGCAGAAAATTCTCTTCTGTTTTTTACAAATAACATTTTCTTTGCCAGGATGCAAATAGCTAAGCCATATGTCGATGGCCGATAATAAGAAAAAATGGTACAGTAGGAATCCTCTTCAATTGATCTGAAAGTTGTTTTGGCTTCTACAAATATTTGCATACTCAAAGAAGGCTTTTACATGATGTATTTGATTTATGGTTTTTTGTGTTTTATTTAATCTTTATTGTATTTTTTCCATTACTCTTTAGTCCCCTTATATTCCCATGCCCCCAGCAATGACCACACTGTTGTCTGTGTCCATGAGCCCTTTTTCCTTTTTGCTCAATCCCTCTACCTACTAACCGCACACCACTAGCTGTCATCTGCTCTCCACCTGAGTCTGTCTCTGTTTGTCTTGTTAGTTGAGTTTGTTCATTAGGTTCCACATACGAGTGACATCATATGGTACTGGTCTTTCTCTGCTAAGTGGCTTATTTCACTTAGCATAATGTTCTCCAGGTCCATCCATACTGTCATAAAGAGTAAAATTTCCCCTTTTTTTATTGTCAGGTAGAATTCTGTTGTGTAGATATCCCATAGTTGTTTTATCCACTCATCTATTGATGGACACTTGGGCTGCTTCCATATCTTGGTGACTGTAAATAACGCTGCAATGAACATAAGGGCACTTACATTCTTTTGAATTAGTGTTTGAGGTTCCTTCAGATATATTCCCAGAAGTGGCGAGATCACTGGGTCAAAGCCAAATTCATTTTTAATTTTTTGAGGTGTCTTCATACTGCTTTCCACCAGAGTGGCTGCACTAGTCTGCATTCCCACCAACAGTGCAAAAGTGTTCCCCTTTCTCCACATCCTTGCCAGCACTTGTTGCTTGTTGATTTATTGGCACTAACCATACTGACAGGTTGAGATGGTATCTCACTGTGGTTTTAATTTGCATTTCTCTGATGATTAGTGACATTGAGCATCTTCTCATATGGCTATTGGCCATCTGTATGTCCTCCTTGGAGTAGTGTCTTTTCAGGTCCTTTGTCCATTTTCTAATTGCAGTATGTGTTTATTTGGTGTTGAGTTTTATAAGTACTTTATAAATTTTGGATATTAACCCTTTGTCAGATGTATTGGCCAATATGCTCTCCCATTCTGTGGGTTGTGGTTTTATATTGTTGATGATTTCCTTTGCTGTGCAAAACCTTTTTAGTTTGATGTAGTCCCATTTGTTTATTTTTTCTTTTGTTTCCCTTGCCTGGGGAGGTATATCTAATAAAAATTTGCTGCAAGTAATGTCTGAGATTTTGCTGCCTATGTTTCCTTCTAGGATTTTTATGGTTTCAGGTCTAACATTTAAGTCTTTGATTCATTTCTAATTTATTCTTGTGTGTGGTGTAAGAAAGTGGTCTAGTTTTAATTTTCCTGCATGCATCTGTCCAATTTTCCCAATACCGTTTATTGGATAAACTATCTTTAACCCACTGTATGTGCTTGCTTCCTCTGTCAAATATTAATGGACTATAAAGGTGTGGGTTTATTTCTGGGCTCTCCATTCTGTGCCATTGATCTATGTGTCTTTTATTATGCTTTTTAAAAGCATGTTGACATAGTCAATTATTTGCTGCAAAAAACTTTTTTATCATAGTAGATAAGCAAATAGCTAAATAACCTATTCAAAAATATATTTGATGAAAGCTGAAATTGATTATCTTCTTTGACTACCCAAGCATTTTGATGGATAGCCTTGCTCATGGAATTTGTGTGTATGTGTGTACACACATTGTATATATATACTATGTATATGATATGTATATACACATTATGTGTATATATTGTATATATGTATACATGTATACACACACATAGCTTAAATATAATGTGTACCTATATATATGAGTGAGAAGCTGGAGGAGCCCTTTCTGTGGTAGGGAAGCTATACATAAACACGTAATTACAGGATCATGAGAAAAGTACTGTGAACAACTACAAAAACTGTGAAATCTGGATAAATATTTCTTTTAAAGAGTTTATTTATTTATTTTTAGAAAGAGGGGAAGGGAGGGAAAAAGAGAGGGAGAGAAACATCAATGTGTGGTTGCCTCTCATATACCCTCTACTGGGGACCTGGCCTGCAACCCAGGCACGTGCCCTGACTGGAAATCAAACTGATGACTCTTTGGTTTGCAATCCAGCACTCAATCCACTGAGCCATACCAGATAGGGTTGAAATCTGCATAAATATTGATTAAGGATATAGTTCAGAGCCTTAAAGCATCACATTTTTTGTGTCATCTTTAAAGGTTTGGTTATAAATGTGAGAAGAAAACTGAGAGATGGTGGGATCATTCTTTTTTTGTTTTAAAGATGAGGAAACCATGGCACAGAAAGGGAGGAGATTTTCCCAAGGTCACAGAACTAGTTGTATAGCAAAACTAGTACTAGAACTTAGCTCTCTTCACTCCTATTTATAATTCTTTCCATTCTGCTACTAATATTTAGCCTTGTATTTTCTTCGCAGTATTTCTGTTTCTAAATAATTTTAATATGTTAGCTATTCTGAGTAAGGCTTTGTTGATGAATACTTGCTAGTTAAGCCATTTAGATACTCATATGGAACTCTGTAAAGGTTCATATTTTATTTTCCTGATAGCATTATATATTATGTGTTATGTTTTGGGAAAAGAAAATAAGCCTGGTTGTTTTACATTTTCTAGTGCCTGTGTGCTACCAACAGATTACTGGGGAAACTTCAGTTTTTAATGCTATATTAAGATAGTTTCTTGTTCAACTTTAAAAAATTTAAAAAGTGAGCCCTGGCTGGTATAGCTCAGTGGATTGAGCGCAGGCCTGTGAACCAGACGATCGTGGTTCAATTCCCAGTCAGGGCACATGCCTGGGTTGCAGGCCAGTTCCCAGCAGGGGATGCACAAGAGGCAACCATACATTGATATTTCTCTCCTGTGCTTCCCTTCCCCTTGAAAGATAAATAAATAAGATCTTTTTAAAAAATTTAAAAAGTGTAAATTATTCTTTTTTTAGTAACAATACACAACACATAGAAATTTGATTATTATTTTGAAGATATTATTTATTTATTATTAGGGAGGGGGAAGGGAGGGGAAAAGAGGAAGAGAAACATTGATGTGAGAGAGAAACACTGATTGGTTGCCTCCCATACATGGCTCTACTGGGGATGCACCTGCAACCCAGGCATGCGCCCCAGCCAGTAATCAAACTGGTGGCTTTTTGCCTTATAGAACAATATCCAGCCAATGGAGCCATACCCATTAGGGCTGATTATTTTTATTGTAGGCTAATTTCTCTTTTCTTATATATTTTTCTCTTTTCAGGCAATTTGACACCTCATTTGCAGAATATCTTTTCCAAGAGTCCAGTTTTTGCTGGAGTGATCCTTCCACAAGTTCAACACCCCAAAAATGCAAGAAAAAAGTACCCAAAGCTAAATGGATTTTTGGCAGATATTGTTCATGTATGTTAAGAGATTAAGGACTTATTTCTGGGACATTTGCATAAATCATAATACAGTTTTAGACTATTACTTCAATGAAATTCTAAAAGGATTTGTAGAGTAACAGTATCTGTCTTTGTGGTTAGCTCAGAGAAAGTAAAATTCATAGACTATTAGAACTGAAAGCCCACTAGGATAATCTTGTTTATTATTTTTAGTTTACCTCAATTTTAATGATAATTAGTGATAAACTGGGAAAATGCTGAGGACTTACTTGTTTATCACCACCTTTTAGTAACCACTCTCCCCAAGTTAGAGATCTGTCCCAGGTACAGTGGCATTCTCAGGTGTCTACAGGTGTTGGCACCTGCAGCTGTAACATTGCTTGAAGACATGCCAATGCATGTGCACCTTGAATCGGAGGGAAAAACATGTTTTATAGTAATTTTAAATTATTTCAAAATTTAAACTTCATTTTAAACTAGGTAATAAATATACCAATACACTTAGTACAAAATTTGAAGGATAAGAGACTTTACTATGAAAAGTAGCTATTCCTGTTCACTCTGTCCAGCCAATTTCCTTTCCCAGTGTCAACTAAGTTGTCTTATTTCTAATATATAGCACTTTAAAAAGTGGTTACCTAAATTTTAAAGCAAATATACTGTAGTGTTTGTAAAAAGGGACTCCAGAATCCCAAAGACTACATTTAAAACCTAGCGCTCACACTAATAGCTCTGTAACCTTGGACAAGTCACTTAACCTCAGTGCCTCAGTCCACTGGGCTATACAACAGTATTTTTTACATTGACTTTTAAAAGATTATTTATTTATTTATTTTTAAAGAGAGGGAAAGAAAGGGAGAAAGACAGGGAGAGAAACATCAATCAGTTGCACATGTCCCCAGCTGGGGACCAGCCTGCAACTCAGGGATGTGCCTTGACTGGGAACCAAACTGGTGACCTCTCACTTTGCAGGGTGAGACTTAGCCAACTGAGACACATCAGTCCAGGCTAAAACAACATTTAACAATATTCATTTTCTGGGGCTGGAGGATTAAATGAGGCAATGTTCAGAGCACAGGGCCTTGAATAAGCCGTTTGTGTTAATTGTCTTCACTGTTATTTAGATAAACTTGAATGTATGATACGTAATATCTAAAGACTATTCTTGAAGGAAAAGATTAGTTTATTGGTACCTGGAGAGAACTAGAGTTTATTAAGGATCAGATTTGTTTACTATATCTTCAGTTTAATTCCTTTTTTTTATTTCATAGTTTTCATTATATAAACAATATACAATGATTATAGAAAAAGTAGAAAATACATGATAAACAAAAAAAAGATAAGTTAAGGTTTTCCTAACTCCCATAATCCAGAAAAAATTACTTTTAACATTTTGGTTTATACTTATATACTCATAGACCTTTCCTAACCAAATATATACATAGAAATTTATGTTTCTGACTTCTGGTCAAAATGGCAGCATAGGCAAAAATGGCTTGCCTCCTCACACAACCACATAAAAATTATAAATAAATTATAGAACAACCATCATTTAGAACCAGTAGAAATTGAGTTGAATGGAAGTCTGATAACTACAGAATTACAAAAACCACATTTATCCAGATTGGTAGGAAGTGAAGATTCGGAATGGGCTGGTCCCACATACACATGTGGCTGGTAAGAACTTGGGAGGAATATCTTGGGAGTGAGAAGTCCCAGCTTCACACCAGGCTCCCCAACGTAGGGTACCAGTGCCAGAAAGATAAGTCCTCATAACTTCTGGCTGTAAAACCCAGCAGGGATGATTCAGTGGAAGAAACTTCTGGAGTCCCAAGCAGTTCCTCTTAAAGAACTGACACACATACTTATCCAGACTCACTCCCTCTGAGCTCCAACACTGGGGTAGCAGCTTGAAAGGCACCAGTGGCACACAGGGAAGAACTGAAGTGGCTGGCGTCAATATGAGAGCTGGGAGACAGCTTTCTCCCAGACAGAAAGGCAGGCAGAGCCATAGAGCTGGCAGGTAGATGCCATATCCGAGACTTTATATTAAGCTGGCTAACACTGTTTAACCCTGCCCTGCAGATCTCCTGAGATTCCAGCCCACCCAACTTATAGATATTAACAGCAGCCATCTCAGATTGCTTTATAACTCAGGCAGGGTGCCCCAGGCAAAACACATGTTGGGGCTGACCTTGGACCGTGCCACCTGGAAAACCCCAGGACCTGTGCACCCAGTAGACAACTACTGACCATGTCAGAACATTGCCACTCTGGCCCTGCACAGCTGATTCTCCATGGAGGGCAGAGGTTGGTGGTCAGTGGTAACAGCCAATTTTTGTAACTGACTGCCCTGAGTAAATCCCTCCCTTTGACCTGCCAATAGCAACTAAGGCTCAGCTACAAGAGGAGGGTGTACTCAACCCACACAAAAGGCACACACACATCAAGTACCCAGCTTGGGTGATAGGGGAGGCTGTGCCACAGGACCCTGTAAGACACCTACAACATTAGTCCACGATATCAAGACATAGCTCTACCTAATACATAGAAACAAACACAGGGGGGCTGTCAAAATGAGGGGACAAAGAAACATGGCCCAAATGAATGAACAGAGTAAAGCTCCAGAAAAAGAACTAAACAAAATGGAGATAGGCAATCTATCAGGTGCAGAGTTCAAAACATTTGTCATAAGGATGCTCCAGGAACTTAATGAGGACCTCAGCAGCATAAAAATGATCCAGTCAGAAACAAAGGATACACTGAATAAAGCTGAGAATCAAATCAATGATTTGGAATATAAGGAAGCAAAAAACAACCAATCAGAACAGCAAAATTAAAAAGAATTAAAAAACTAGTATAGTATAAACAGCCTCTGAAATAATTTTAAGCAAACCAACATTCATATCATAAGGGTACCAGAAGGAGAAGAGAAAGAGCAAGAAATTGGAACTCTATCTGAAAAAATAATGAAAGAAAACTTCCCTAATTTGGTGAAGAAATAGACGCGCAAGTCCAGGAAGTCCAGAGAGTTCCAAATAAGATGGATGCAAAGAGGCCCCCTCCAAGACACATCATAATTAAAATGCTAAAGGTTAAAGATAAAGAGAGAATCTTAAAAGCAACAAGAAAAAAGCAGATAATTACCTACAGAGTAGTTCACCTAAGACTGTCAGCCTAATTCTCAAAAGAAACTTTGCAGGCTAGAAAGGACTGGCAAGAAGCATTCAAAGTCATGAAAAGCAAGAAACTACAGCCAAGGTTGCATTACCCAGCAAAGATACCATTCAGAATCAAAGGGCAGATAAAGAACTTCCCAGACAAGAAAAAACTAAAGGAGTTCATCAACACCAAACCATTATTGTATGAAATGTTAAAGGGACCTTTTTAAGAAAAGATCAAAACTATGACCAATGAAATGGCAATAAATATATACCTATCAACAATTGAATCTAAAAAACAAACTAAGTAAACAAGAAGAACAGAAACAGAATCTTGGATACAGACAGGTTTTGATGGTTGCCAAATGGGAGGGGGGTGTGGCAGAAGGGGTGAAGAGGTGAGTTGATTAAGAAGTACATACAGGTACCAAATAGCCATGGGGATGTAAAGTGCAGTATAGGAAATGGAGTAGCCAAAGAACTTATACACATGACCCATGGACATGAACAATGATGGGGGGATTGCCTGAAAGGGGTGTTGGGTGGAGGAGCACAAAGGGGGAAAAATGGGACAACTGTAATAGCATAATTAATAAAATAAACAAAATAGAAATGTATTTTTATAACTATAGTTAATTGTATATGAATTGTGTGCAATTTACTATCCAAACCCCATTCCATTTTCAGTTTTTGTTTTGTGGGTTTTTTTATTTATTTCTCCACTCACTTGAAGTACTCTCCAGGTAGGGCTGTTCAAATAATGGATTATTGAAAAATTTGGGTCTTGTATATTTATGAAATTTGATTATGCCATAGCAAAAGCCCTGGATTAGGAATTGCACAACATGAGTTAAAATTCTATTTTGGGAAATATGTAATCATGCTTCTAGCTCTGTAAAATAGAGATGATAATCCATGAACTTTCCACCTCCCAGGCTGATACAAAGGTCAAAAGGAGTTAGTTAATTTCTGCTAATTCGAGCAGAAACAGACTCACTTCTGATCTGGCTAGAATCATAGGACATTTAACCTGTAACAGTGTTTTATGAGTACAGATTTCTTATGGAAATAAATGGTCAGAACACACAACCAGAAATTCTTGAGGTGTAATTCCATCTTTTCAAGAACACTATTAGCTCTGGGTAATTAATTACTTTTATACTTGTCAAATAAATTGAATGTTTGCCTCATAGAGCCCTATTCATAGCTTATTTAACCATAGAATCTTTGTGTTTTTTTCATATTCTAGGCTTGTTTACAAATTGATCCTGCTGAGAGAATATCATGTACTGATCTTTTGCATCATGAGTATTTTACTAGAGATGGATTTACTGAAAAGTAAGCCTTTTGAGTGAGTTTGGACTCCGTAGTGTTCTGTATTAGGAAGTTTTACCAGCATGAGAACTGCTAGATAGGGTAATGTTACACACACAACAGGAAAACTCAATCTAATGGAAACATACTGAGCTCCTGTGTTGACTAGGTATGTGGTAGGCTTAGAGGCATTGCGATGAAAATTCTAATAATAAAAATAATCACAGTTAATGTTCGTTACAGTTACTATGTCCTAGGGTGTGTGCTGAGCTCTTTCCACACATTTTCAATGGTCATCTTTGGCCAGAGATAACATTAAATAAATAACCGATAATTTCTAGCTTTATTCCCATTTGTACCTCTGACTTAGAATAGTCTAGTTTTTCCTCTTTTGATAGCATCTCTGATCTATATATTAAAATTAAGATTCATTTCCCAAAATGACTTTTTCCTCTGCTTTACTTAGTCTCTGTTGCAGCTGCTATTGTTTTTATTCTCTCCAAATTGGAAGTGCCCTAAAGACATGGACCAAGCTCTCACAGCTCTGCTGTTTCCCACATATATAGGTATACATACACACACATATATTTATAAAAGTTAAAATGTAAATCAGCCAAATTTCTTTAAAAAACACCATTTTCTTTTTTTTTTAATTTATTCATTTTTAGAGAGAAGGAAAGGGAGGGAGAAAGAGGAAGAGAAACCTAAGTGTGTGGTTGCCTCTTGTGCCCCCCACTGGGGACCTGGTACACAATCCAGGCATGTGTCCTGACTGGGAATTGAACTAGCAACTCTTTGGTTCACAGGCCAGCACTCAATCCACTGAGCCACACCAGCCAGGGCACAATTTTCTACTTGGACTTTGAAAAAAATAGAAAAAGTTTCTCACTGACTGCAGAAACATTCAGCTGGCCTTTGGATGTGAGGTCAGAATGATGGACATCAATGAAAAATGTGATGGAGTTAAGATCAGGCGTGGAACAGTCCAGGAACTGCCATTGAGGAGAGACTAAAATTAAAAAGGCAATGAAAAGGGAATCATTGAAAGTAGCTATGATAGAACTTCAACCATTTAAGGAATTTTAATCTAAAACAAAAGAATGAGAAGACATATTAAAGTGCCATTTATGAAAAGTGCCAGTTGAATAAAAAAGTTGTTTTATGTCAATTCTATGCAGACTAAGTTGATATCCCCTGCACATTTAGATAATAGTATTTTACTATTATGGGTGAAAGTCTTGAGTTCCAGTTGTTGAACCCTCAGCAAGTGTTTGAGGAAGACCTTTTCCTTCAGTCAGAGGACTCTTCCTTTTGTGAACCTTGTGCAATGCAAGAGAGTTTTGACAGAAACGTGACGTTTCCTCACTCAGCCAAAGTACTTGTTATTTTCTTCGTCTCCTCATACTACCCTTTACTAGACATGTCCCTGCACAGGACTGGCAAGATGGGGCTGAACTAGGGAAGAATTCATTCATGGACTGATACTTTAAAACTTCCCCAAACCAACAGCAATAGCTGCTCCAAGGAGGAGACTGTGTGACTCAGGAGCAGGCGTGGAAAGACTTTCCAACACGGTCTTTTGAATTTTGAGCCATATGAATAGTGTTATTATATATTCAAAAATAACTTAAAGAAACTCAAACTAAAACCAGGACAATCTCGCTTCAATATTGATGTTCTGTTACATTTTGTACTGAAAATATTTTTCTAGAGTAAGTAGGTAGTTCATCTTTTAAGTACTGTTACTTTAAAGAACCACAAAAAGGACAAAGTGGCCTGAGTCTTCCTTGAAAAAAATAGTATATTTATCAAAATTTAAAAGAAGTACTTTTACTAAGTAAAGTTTGCATCACAAAAGGAATCTAATTCCTATATGTCTATTTTGTAAATGTTTTACATAGCATATTCCCATGGCAAAATTGAAAGACGTATCTTTATCAGAAAGCAATTTGTATTAAGTAAATATTGGGCCATTTCTTGGCATGCATTATTGACTACTTATTTATGCTGTGGTTGAAATATAAGTTAATTGATTAAATGGTCCATTAAAGATAAAATATCTACATAAGTAAAAAGATTATTGGCTGATATTGCTTGTTTTATCAGATTCATACAGGAACTAAGAGCTAAATTACTACAAGAAGCAAAAGTCAATTCACTCATAAAGTCAAAAGAGAATTCTAAAGAAAATGAATTTATGAAAGATGAAAGAAAAACAATTTATACTAATACACTGCTAAATACTTCACTTTTGGGAAAGGTAAAAACTGGTTTTCTTTTTAGCCAGTAATGATATTATAGTTAGCACTCTAATGATAAAAATTACCCTTCTTCTGACTCAGATTTTGGATGTATCTATTCCAGGAAATGGAAAAAGAGAAAAAACCCAAGGAAATGAGAGCCAGAGTTACCAAAGTCAAAGGAGGAAATACCTTAGAACCAAAAAAGACAGAGTATGAAAGTGGACATTGTCAACAAGATGCGACTAAAACTGTTCATACTATGTCTCAAGATACGAAACTCGTAATCAATGAGCCAGCAGACCCTGCCACGCCCAGCACTAACTCGAATGGCATGAAGGACAGTCCACATGCTGGAGGTGGTATGATGATGCCACCTATTAACCTGACTGGCAATAATTTGATGGCTTCCAATCACAATGCAAACCTCTCCCACTCCAATTCAAGGTGAGTTCTAACAGAAAAGAGACAGAAGGAAATGGACCTAAGGACTACAATGTTCCTATACAATGGTATTTCAAAGAATCAAGTTTATAGTGTCTGTACGTAAACAGAATTTGAAGATATATTGAAATTATAACCATATAATGGAGTATTACTGAGTCCTTATGATTGTTGTAGAAGAAACTAACTTTTCTTGGCTATATTCACATTTTATATAAATTTTTCACTAATACCTTTTGGGAAAACCTCAATTTAAAAAAACTCTTAGAAAAAAAATTTAATTTGGAGAGAAAAAGGTAATATGGCCTAAGTGTTGGTATTGATGTGCCTTGGTATAACAAAGTAAGCATTATTTCTGTATCATAGCAAATTCTCTAAGTGCAAAGAAGAGAGTTGAAAATAATCTTTAATAGTCAAATAGTCTTTCAAGGTCAAAAGTTTTGGGTGGAAAACAACAGATTGGGCTAGTTTTAGCTCTAGCTATTGATCAGATTGAGAGAATGGTGCAGGAGTCTTATAATCAAGGGCAGTGTGATGGATGGCAAGGGTTTGTCTAGTAAGGCATCGAGGCCAGTTCTAAATTTTGGAAAACTACGGTGTATCTAGATGAGGAAGGAGACTAGGCTGGTTGCCCCAAGCCAATCCCAGCAGACTGGTTTGGGCTCTAAGCTGTGAAACTCAGTGCTCCACAGAGGTGGGCAAGTGCACCTGTCTGTGTCAGTCAGAGGGTATAGCAGCTTACAGAGTTACAGATAGCAAGAGCTCAGTTGTTCTTTCTTTTAAAAAAATTAAATTTATTTTTAAAGAGGGGGAGGGATGAAGAAAGAGAGCAAAACGTCAATGTGTGGTTACCTCTTGTGTGCCCCCTACTGGGGACCTGGCCTGCAAACCCAGGCATGTGCCCTGACTGGGAATTGAATCAGTGACCCTTTGGTTCACAGTCTGATGCTCTATGCACTGAGCCACACCAGACAGGGCCTTTCTTTACTTTCTTTCTTTCCTTTTTTTTTTTTTTTGGAGTAAGGGTTTCTTTTTTTAAAAAAGTTTTATTGTTCTCAATTGTTCTTGAGATGACCCCAAAACCATGGTTGTAATAACCATGGTTGTAAATCAGCTTTGGATGGCAAGCTGCGAAATTCAGAAACCTACTAATTAAGAGATCCAGGTTCAGATCAGGTAGAAGGGACCAAGTTGGCTACCTGGAGTAGCCCTATAACACGGTCATTACCACTGATGTTAGCTGGGAGGGAGCTGTTCCCTGCTTTGTTTTCACCTCTCTACTCAGCACAACCAGCACTTAAGGACTGACAACTGCATTTTGGCACTCAGTGTTCAAACAGTAGACTCCCATGGTGTAACTTTTATTATGAAAGCTAAAACAGAAGCAGTTTTGGGGGGTTATAACTTCTTGTTTGTTTTTAAATAATAGGTCAACTGAAAGAGCAAAAAAGAGACGTACTTCACAATCTATTGGACAAGTTATGGCTAATAGCAGGCAAGAGGATACAGGTCCCACTCAAGTAAGACAAGAAGCTAGTCATTGAAATATAACTTCTTTCAGCATTATTCCCCTAACTGCCCCCCTTGTCCTTTTCTCCATCTCTGGGGTGCTAACATTTTTTAAAATGTGCTTTTAGTTTCCTTTTTTCCCCTCTGAGATGAAAATAGGCTATCATGTCCTTATTGCCTTCATCATTTTAGTTCATTTCTTTTAACTTGATTTGTGTATTCAGTGTGTTATTTGGGGGGCAGATAAGTTAAGATTTTCACCTTTAAAAGTCACAAGACTTTTTGGTTTTTCACCTCCAAAAAATGCTTTTAATATATTTCTATGTAAATTAAAGCAACCGCCAAATAGATACATTTCACTTTTCACTAGAAAAAAAATCAATGTAGTTCATTCCCTCATTTATTTTTATATAGGAAAGTAGCTTATTCAAAATTGAACTACAGTGTTATTTACAATAATAAAAACTAGGCCTGGCTCCTGTGGCTCAGTGGATTGCATGCCAGCTTGGGAACCAAAAGGTTGCTGGTTTGATTGCCAGTCAGGGCACATGCAGCCTGGGTTGTGGAGTAGGTCTTTGATTGGAGATGTGTGAGAAGCAGCTGATCAATATAATAATAAAAATCGAAGAGACAAATTCATCCAAGAGCAAGTGACTGGTTAAGTACATTAGAGTGTTTCTACATAGTGGGATACTACATATTACTTTGTGGAAGATTGTTCATTAACTTAGGGAAGTCTTTTTTTCCTTTTTATTTTTAAACTCAAGTTGAGTGCAATATTACATTAGTTTCAGATGTCCTTTTTTATTCTGTTGAAGTTCTCACTAAGTTCCTTGAGCATCCTTATAACCATCGTTTTGAACTCTGTATCTGGTAGTTTCCTTGCCTCCATTTTATTTAGTCCTTTTTCAGGAGATTTCTCCTGTTCCTTCATTTGGAACCTGTTTCTTAGTCTCCTCATTTTGGCTGCTTCCCCTGTGTTTGAGTCTGTGTATTAGGTAGAGCTTCTGTGTCTCCTGGACTTGGTAGAAAGGCCTTATGTAGTAGGTGTCCTGTAGGGCCCAGTGGTGCAACCTCCCCAGTCACCCAAGGTGGGTACTCCAGTGCAGCCTCTGTGTGGGCTGTGTGTACTGTCCTGTTGTAGTTGGGCCTGGATCGCTGTTGGCACATCACTGGGGGGGATTGACATCCCCCCAGGCCAATAAGCTGTGAGGACCAGCTGCTACTAAAGCAAGGACCTGCTGCTGTGGGGCTTTGGTGCTCATCCAGTCTGCCCCTTGAATGTGGTCCTCGTGGAGGTGGTTGAGTTGTGATCCTGTGTGGTCTGCCTATCTCATACCATCCAAATGGCTAATAATTCTACACTTGTCATTCAGTAGTTGCACTTCTTTCTTTGAATTAACTCATTTATTTGTTTGTTTAGAGCCAGATGGAGACGGCTATATTTAATGAGCATACAGGTCAAAACGACCAAATTGCAAATGGAAACAAAAGGAAGCTGAATTTTCCCAGACCTGACAGGAAAGAATTCCACTTCCCAGAACTGCCCTTCATAATACAATCAAAAGAGATAAAAAGAATGGAAGGTACACATTTGTTGCACAGCAGTACAGATCTCCAGATGTCATCTTTCACAAAACCGCTTTTTGTAATATAACTTACATTTTAAAATGTAATTTAGGTAGGATATAGTAAATCACTGCAAGTATTTTTAGCAGATGAGAATTTTTTCCCATAGTTAAATAAAGGATGAGATTTAAAGGAGGAAATTTTAAAGAAAGATTAAGAAAACTTTAAAGTGTAAATTTGCCATTAGCTCAGTATTGTTGAAATGTTTAGAATAGTATTTGAAGAAGGTGGTTTTGATTTATTATATGATCTGGAGCAACTCAATTTCTTGTGCTTCTCCATGATTACTTGTCCATATAATGGCAGGAATTAGAGATGTGCTTTAGTAGATTATAATTTATAACGTATTGATTTTTTCTAATGAAACTCATTTACTCTTTGAAGAACAGTGACACCTTGTGAGAAATTAATGTAATAGCAAGACTATAGTACTTGTGTAGTTCAAGAGGAGTTATCCAATCCACTCTTTTTATTCTTTAAAATAAATAATCAGACTTATTAATTTTTCTTCAATAAGTCAGTTAAGACTTTAAAGCCCCAATTTTACACATGTTGATAAAGTTCATGTAATGAACCTGGAACATTTATTATTGTATTAAGAAATCAAGTAAGCATGATTATTGAGCTCACAGTGACAAACCTTACATGTTAGGACTCCAGAATAGTGAATATATAAACATAATCTTAATGCAATTGTTCTTAACCATTTAATTCATTTATGTGAAATGATACTGTTTAAAAGAATTACATTCAACACTATTTGCCAGCTGCTGTTAAGGTGCATCTGTTAGCAGAGGTTGGGCGGGCCTTGAGGTTCTCATGAGTGCAGTTTACTCTCCTTACCCATACTGCTGACATATAAGATGCCACTGCACCAAGAAAAGCCTAGTGAAATATTATGTGATAATGTTTTCCCCCGAGTCTACACTATCAGTTACATTTGGCATATAATATTCTTTTAGTTTTCAGGGGCCCAAGTCACAGAATTAAAAAATATATGTCCCCCTGGCCACATAGGTCAGCTGGTTAGAGTGTTGTTCTGATACTTCAAGGTTGCAGGTTTGATCCCTGGTCAGGGGCCGTAAGAGAACCAACCAATGAATCCATAAATAAGTGGAACAACAAATGGATGTTTCTGTCTTTCCCTCACATCAATCAATCAAAGTAAATACATAAAAATAAATGTATTCTAGATTTTTTATGCAGTCAATCAAAGTAAATACATAAAAATAAATGTATTCTAGATTTTTTATGCAGTCATAAAACAAATAATTTATGATTGGTACATTTTACCATTACAACTCATGGTTGGTTCAGTTCCTTTATAATAAAGTGGGAAACTGACTTAAGTGGATATCAGAATTTTCATTAGAAATTCTTAAAAAGGAAAGTAAAATTTCAATGTAAGAATAATAAGTTGTCGTATATATTTTTGCAAAAGTTAAACAGATAAAAGTGCCGAAGAGGGAATCAAAGAAAACAGATTCATCTAAAATACCAACTTTACTTAATATGGATCAAAATCAAGAAAAACAAGAGGTAAGACTTTTTGTTTGAAGCTTTTACTAAGGAATGCTATTTAGAATCCTTCACTTGGTGTGTAAATTTAGTTATCATTAGAGAGTTACATAAAAATTCAAAATTCTGTAATCTCTGAGCTCTAGAAACAGATCTCTATTTTCCTAGAATAACCACTTACTAAAGGTTCTTAAGGCGTTCCTGGGGGTGGGGGAGGCAGTCAGTGGCAGCCTCACATGAGTGTTGGGGTGGCGCTCAGGGAAGAGTGTGTGTGTCATGCATGTCACCTAATGCCAGACAAATAAACCGTGCCTGAGGAAATGAATAAAGGTACCAACATATGGTTGTACTGGCTGCAGGAACAGATGCATTTGTCTTGAGCCTCTTGCTTCCTGTTTTCTCTCCAGTTTGTTCCCGCATCTCTGCTGTGCACCTGCTGTCCTATTTTCACAAATTTTTGCTCTTAGATAGCTATCAGATAATCTCGTGGAAATGTCCCAGCCTCTACCCACCAGAGAATCTTGAATTTTATTTAGAAGTCTTGAAGCCCCAAACATGCAAATGAATACTCTCACAGGGGTGTCCAACCTGCAGCCCACAGGCTGCATGCAGCCCAGGATGGCTAGGAATGCAGCCCAACACAAAATCGTAAATTCACTTAAAACTTTTTTTTGCTCATCAGTTTTTGTTAGTGTTTGTGTATGTAATGTGTGGCCCAGGACAACTCTTCTTTTTCCAGGGTGGCCCAGAGACGCCAAAAAGTTGGACACCCCTGCAAGGTATTCTTTTTAGAGAGGGGGGATTGTGGTGAGTACTCACTGGATGGGATCACAGTAGCTGGCCTTCCGTTTCTGCGAGGTCATCAACTTTGTTATCTCTGTTTCTTATTTTTTAAATAAAATTGATTATATTTGTATTCATGATAAAATTAGCACATGCTGATCAAGGAAATCAAAAGAAATTAGAAAAATCAAGAAACTTTGATCTGAAACTACTTGAGAGGCATTTATCTAAATATGTTCAATCTCTACAACATTCAAATAAAATAGTTATCAGACACTGTTAGATATATTTTCACAGTGACATTTATATTTTATTCTTGGCCTAGAACTTGTTAAGAATGCATAAGTCCACATTGCAGAGAAAAGACATTTTCTAGATAAAACAGGAAAACCATTAATGCTCATCTTTTAGTTCAGTATAAAAAGTAAAAAGGTGGCTTTAAACTTGGGTGACTTACTGACGTCACAGCTTGTTGAACAGCACACCATATGCACGTTTTGGTTTTTTAAAAGATTTTATTTATTTATCTTTAGAGGGGAAGGGAAGGAGAGGAGAGAAACATCAGTGTATGGTTGCCTTTTGTGTGTCCCCTGCTGGGAACTGGCCTGCAGGGAACCAGCCTGCAACCCAGGCATGTGCCCTGACTGGGAATCGAACCACAATTGTCTGGTTCTCAGGCCTGTGCTCAATCCACTGAGCTACACCAGCCAGGGCCATATGCACGTTTTTTGAGTGATTGGTGAGTCAGGGCTCCTGAGCTGGACAGGCTGGTGATGTGCTTCATGTGTTTATCCCACATTCCTATGAGAGCCACCCACCATTCTCCCCACCCCACCCTGAACCACAACCACACTCTAATGCAAGAAGAAAGGAACTCTTAAGATCGTTCTGTCATTTTTTAAATACAAAAGTAAATAGGAAGGGAAAACCTCTTGCTCATATGGTGTAGAACTCTGGAAAAGATGACATTTTTAAGAGTGACTTGGAAAGTTGTTACTAGAACAACAAGAAGTTATATGATGCTGATTGTAGTTTATTTGTACTGTCCATTCAAATGCAGTTTTGACAAGTGATTGAAATCGCATCTAAGACTAGTCCAAACGCTTTTAATAAATTAATGTTAGAATTAAGAAAATCCCCTAAATTTTGAGTTGGTAGTTTGTTTCGTTTTGTTTTGTTTTTGGTAATTTGTTGTTTTAGAGCACCAGAGAATATCACGTTTTAAAAAATATAAGAAGTAATAGCAACTTACTTGTTTTATTCTTGGTTCTGTTGTTGACTTGTTTTTGAATTACCTAATCAGATCCAGGCACTTCCCAGCTGTACATTAAACTCATTTAGGCACTTAAATGTATATTAAAAGAGTACATATGTGCATTGAATAGACTCTACGACATGGAGAGAAACCCTAAATTACTGCTGATGGGTTGAGCAAGAGAGAGAAAAGCCCACACAAAAACTATCTTCAGTTTTGTTTCGTGATGATAATAGGAATACCTTGCTAAATAGTCTCCCTGTGCCTCACAAAACAACCTCCAGGTGCAAAGTACAAGTGCTTATCTGTGGCTTAGCCAAAGACTCGCCATTTCCTCAATTAAGGTCCTGTTTCTATTTACTTTTTTAGAATACAGGAAATGCACAAACTGAAAGGAAGAAGAACCCGACAGATGTAGAGTAGAAAATGCAGCAGCTGAAAATTCAGGGAATCCCAGAATCACTGTATGGTTTTTTTTAATCCTTTTTAAAATATTACATGCACAAAAAATGTTGACTAATAATTCTACAGATATATTATAAAATCTGTGAAGTTATATGTGTATTCACCTAATTTGTTTTTAAATGTATTAACCTTTAAATTATTCATGTTTTCTTAATTTAAACATTAATTTATAAAAACTGCTTGACTGGTACATTCTAATATAACTACAGCTTACATTTAGTTATATAATTTTATCTGATGGTGTCTCATGTTTCATTGGCAGTCCTCCTTGGCTTTGGTTCTGAGCACACCAGACACTTCTGAGCAAACACATATACTTGATAAGCAGGCAACATGGGTTTGATTCCACACTGAACACTCAGAAACTGCATTTAAACATATGACAGTTGTGTTTAATAAGAACGGAAGTTGAGCAAAGCACTGAAGCAAATCTTTTGGCTTGAACAGCATGTTTATCATCCAGTAGTTTAATAGAATATGTTGTCATGTATAATTTAATATGAATAGGCAGAGTTTTGGCACCATATATCTACATTCTTATCTCTGGTTCTTACTTGGTTTCTGATTTTAGGGTGGAGATGGCCATTGTGAAGGGCAGAATTTGAAGAGGAACGTGTTTTTTTTGTGGTAGTGTCTTTGAAATCTTAAACTACAAATTGGCATGTCTTCCTTTTTGATTTTATATGCAATAGGAACGTAACGGGCTGTTAAGATGGTCATTCATCTGCATTAGCTCCATCCAACTTCATTTTGTTAGCAAACTGTTCACTGTTTTCTCCTTTTGTCTAAGGATTCTGTTGATGTGATGCTATGATTTGGAATTAAAGTCATCTCCTGTCTGCCTGCCTCTTTCCTTGCCACATTTCACGAGTAGGTAACACATCCTGCCACATGGCCCACACGGTACTTCTGCTGATCTCTGCCCTCTGCTGGTCATGTAACCTTAAATGTCAGTCATTTCCTCGAAGGCTTAGGCTTTCCAAAGTGAGTTCTTAATAAAATATCTGACCCATTGTTTTAAAAGCTATTCAGAACAATAAATTAAATAAAACAAAATCTGTTTATTGCCATTACATGATTAAACCTATGTTCTGTCAATCAGCTATGAAAGTATTTATTACATTTATAAAATATCTGTAAATTATATGGTATTCAAATGTTAATTATTTTGTTATGCTTTTAAACAACTATAAGTGGTCTTCCTTTTCTATTTAATAAAATAAGCTATATACAACCCTGAAGAAGTATACACCAAAATTCTCGATTATCCTATAGTTCAAAAAACAATAAAATGAGATTATCTGATGTTTTACCAGAAGTCTACCTGATTTTATATTTACTAAAAGTAAACATGAAAAATAAAGGAAGGCACAGCTTCTTTATTGTATTACAATCTCCTTCAGTCTCATCAGAAGTGGGATGGAATTCACATCGGTGTTGATTACATGTGCTGCACTTAACAGACCCATTAGCTCCTCCAGGGAAACTGAGCAACATGTTCCCTGTGGTAGGTTTGACAGTTCAGTCCATTCATTGCCTGCTGGGTTGTATATTTGTGGATTCTTGGATCAGTATTAAAGGATTTTTTTTTCAATTTCTACAAAAAAAATGCCTTCTGGGATTTTTATTGGGACTGCGTTGAATCTATCTACCAACTCGAGGAGAATGGATCTCTTAATCACATCATCTTCCAAAACATGAGCATGGTACAAACTCTCCATTTATCTACACCTTTAATTTTTTTGTAATAGTATGTAGCAGTCTTGCACATCATTTACTAAATTTATTCTTACGTGTTTTGTTTTTCGACATTGTTATAAGAGGTATTGCTTTTTTTTAGAGAGATTTTATTTATTTTTTAGAGAGAGGAAGGGAAGGCGAAAGAGAGGGAGAGATAGATCATTGTGTGGTTGCCCCTCCCATGCCAACTGAAGACCCCACAACCCAGGCATGTGCCCCAGACTGGAAATCGAACCTTTTTTTTTGCCTTCTTCTCTTCTTCCTCTTTCTTTTTTTCCTTCTCTTCCTCCTCCTTCTCCTTCTGCCTTTGTCTTCTGTGGGGGCGACTTCTTTTCGAGAGTCTCCCCCCCAGTGCCATGGACACGTGTGAATGAGTAAATATGGATGAGAGATGATGAGATCTGTTTGGGGAGGGAGAGTAGGCTGTGGCCAGTTTCTCAGGGGAGACAAAGGCCAGCAGCGGCCAGTTCCTCCTAGGAGAAAAAGGCCCCAAGCGCCCTCTTCCATAGCCTTTTATTGGGTTGTAATACACAGGAATACAGGGTGACAAGGATCAAACAGTAGATAACATTACAAGGAGATCTGAGTCAGTGTCTGTCAGGAAGAGAGTTGCAGAAACTTTGGGAGACATACTCATTTCCTCTCGGACCCTTATATGAATGAAAGCACTCTTAGCAGAGCAGATTTCACAGGTTTATCAGCAAGTCTTTGTGATGCCAGATTTTCCCCTGGACACACTCTAGCAAGGCAAGGAGCTGCACCTCTCCCCAACAGGTATTCGGAGTAGAGGGGATTAGAGCCAGGAAGCGCTTCTCCCAGAGAACATGGGGACTCGAGCTTTGTCAAAGCCAGGGGGTGAGAGTCCATTGCTCTTTGTTGCAGCCCCCTGAGTCCTTCCATGATGGCCTCCCAGGTGATCGAGTCTGGCTTAGGTTGCCCCCCACTGTGAGGGGTCTTACCCGTCATTGACTTCTGACCAAACTTTGGGGGCAGGGAGAGGAACTGAGGCAGCGTTTGCTACCAGAGACAGGCTTTGTCTCCTGCGGCTGGCATTCCAAAGGTCGTCTCTTGCCCTTAGCCATAAGGGGTAGAGATACAATTCCTAAAATCAGGCAGAGTGGTCTACAACAGTCTTCCTCTTTTTTGTGTATCCTTAGGATCTTCTATATAGGCAGTTATAACATCTATAGATAAAGATACATCTTCCATTGCGATGTCTATGCCTTTTATTACTTTCTTTTGCCTTATTGTGCCAACTAGGATGTGTGATAGTGTTAAATAGAGTAGTGAGAGTAGACATCCTTGCCTTGTTTTCCTAAACCAGAGGGAAAATATTTAGCTTTTTCCCATTGAAGTATGATGTTAGCTGTAGGTTTTATGTAGATGACCTTTATTAGATAGAGGAAAGTTCCCTCTGTATTTGTTTGCTTAGTGTCCTTACCATGAATCGGTGTAAATTTTTGTTAAATGCTTTTCCTGTATCTACTGAGATACTCTTATGATTTTCCTCCTTTACTGTTATCTTTTTTAGTATCTTTTGTTATAATAAGCCCCTTTCCGTGATAGGAGAGTTTATGATAATGGGTCGACTCCTAGAGAATGGGGGCTGGTTACCAGAGGTACCAACCACATGATTAGAGGGTTGGAACTTTCTCCCTGACACTCTGATCTCTGGAGAGAGGGGAAGAGCTAGAGATTGAGTTCATTACCAACAGCCAAAAATTTACTCAATCGTGTTTTATAGTGGAACCTCCATAAACCCCCTAAGCTGGCTCTGGCTGGTGTGGCTCAGTGGATTGAGTGCTGGCCTGTGAACCAAAGGGTTGCCCATTCGATTCCAAGTCTAGGGCACATGCCTGGGTTGTGGGCCAGGTCCCCAGTAGGAGGTATGCAAGAGGCAACCGCACATCGTTGTTTCTCCCTCTCTTTCCTCCTCCCTTCCCCTCTACAAATAAATTTTTAAAAAACCATTTTTTTAAACGTCTAAACTAAAGGGTTTGAAGCACTCCAAAGTTGTTGAACAAATCAAGGTCCTGCGAAGGTGGTGCACCAGAGAAGAAGGCGTGGAAGCTCTGCACCCCTTCCCATGTACCTTGCTCTGTGCATCTCTTCTACTTGGCTGTTCCTGAGTTGTATTTTTTATAATAAATTGATGGTAAGTAAAGCACTTTCCTGAGTTTTATGAACTGTTCTAGCAGTTTATCAATCCTGAGGAGAGAGTTGCAGGAATTCCTGATTTATAGCTAGTTAGTCAGAAGTACAGGAGGCCCAGTCTGGCAATTGGAGTGTGAAGGGAGGGGCAGACTTGTGGGACGGAGCTTTTAACCTGTGGGGTCTGCACTAACTCCAGGTAGTGTCAGAAGTGTTATAAGTAGAAGAAAGAGTTTTTCTGTCTATTCTTCTCCTAGCTTCTGAGGAAAATGAGGTCATCGACTTGAGACTTTTCTTCTTTTCTAATATAAGCATTTAAAGTTTTAATGTTTTCTCTTAATCACATCTTACAAATTCAAGTGATTTGATATCCATCAGGAAAAATATTTCCTAATTTTCCTTTGGGTTTCTTCATTGGTCCATTTATTTAGAAATGTGTTGTTCAAGTTTCAACTAGTTAGAGTTATTCCAAGTATATTACTGTTCTTGGTTTTTAATTCAATTCCATTGTGGCCACATAATGTACTCTGTATTATCTCAGTTCTGATAATTCCATTGAGACTTGTTTTATGTCCCAGCATATGGCCTGTTTCAGTGAATGTTGCATTTACAACTGAGGAGAACATATATTATACTGAAGTTGAGTGTAGTGTTCTATTAATGGCAAGTAGGTCAAGTTGACTGATAGAGTGTATTAGGTCTCATATCTTTACTGATTTTCAGTATATCAATTGCTGAGGGAAGAACACTGAAATCTTCTACTATAATGATGGATGTGTCTGTTTCTCCTTTGGGGTCTCATAGTAGTTTCTTTATGCATTTTCAAGCTTTGTTATTAGGTGCATATATATTTAGAACTATTATTTTTCTGATGAAATTGAAATGCTTCATCAGAAATATTCAGACCCCGCAGGTTAAGGGCTCTGTCCCACAAGACCGCCCCTCCCTCACACTCCAATGGCAAGTCTGGGCCTCTTGTACTTCTGACCAACTGACTATAAATCAGTAATTCCCACAATCCTCTTCTTGCTTGGGTTCAATAACTTGCTATCTGCTGTCTAGTATCTGAAAACAGTGTTTTATATGTTTTTGTCCAGTTTTATCATTCCCTTTTATCAAGGTAAGACCAATACCTGTTATTCCATCATGGCTGGAACTATAAGTTCATTTAAAGAGTTCTGGAGTGGAGATCTAGTCCCTGTGAATAAGGGAGACCCGTTGAATAACATACTGACATTTATCTTAAGAATTTTACAGAACCTTCAGAGTCATCACAAAAAAGTTATAGCTCTATCTTATATAAAATGTCCCTGATTGACTGACCACCATTTTAGTTGAAGACCATTCCTAAGGGTGTGGGTATGGAGACAGGGACTTGTCCCTTATAATGTAAGTAGTGGCTTGCCCATACTTTTGTTGATTTTGTTGTTATTCTTACTCTGGTTATTGTAATGATTATTTTGTGAACTCTCTGCCAATAGTATGAAAGCTTGAAGTATGAAACTATGAAGTTTGCCAGTGAAACTTCAGGAGTAGACACAGTTGGTAGGATGTATAGTTTACTGGCTGATAATACTTGTCAAAAGGTATTATTCAGGTAAGCCTGTTTTCATTTTCCACATGTGATTGTCTTGTAAATATTTGTTACAAAGCTCTTTTAAAAAGGTTTTATTTTTAGAGAGAGGGGAAGGGAGGGAGAAAGAGAGGGGGAGAAACAATGTGTGGTTGTCTCTTGCACGCCCCCTACTGGGGACCCGGCCTGCAACACAGGCATGTGCCCTGACTGGGAATCAAACCAGCAACCCTTTGGTTCACAGACCAGCATGGGTGTTCTTAATAAAATTTAAATGAGGTGATGTCACTTCTCTGCTCCAAACCCCAGTGCTTTTCACTTCACTCAGCAAAGGCCAGAGACATCGCAGTACCCAACGGGGCCCTACACAGTGTG